CGCCAGCTCAAAGAAGTAAATGTAAAATCGAGTGTTGAACTGTTGAGTAAAAAGGGGTTTTCAGTTAGTATACCCGTCTAGATTCGTGTAAAAATCATAAAATCGCGGGTCCCCGACGAACAAAATCGTAATAGGAAAATAACAATTTACAGGAGCAAAAAAAAAACTGAATATTTTGAATACTATCAAGACTAAAAAGAAGATTCTTTTTAATCAAAAATAAGGAAATATTTTTTTTTGCACTAGATTTTTACTAAATTTTTATCATAAATTTTCTTTACAGTAAGAAAATTGTGAAAATGTCCATTACTGAAATAAGTATGGAAAAAATTAACGCAAACTAACTTTACGATAGTGTTCGACTGTAATCACAAATCGGTGTTGCTGTAGTAATCGTTCATTATGATATTGTTCCTTGGTAAATATGAATATACTTTATATTCGTAAAAATGACATTGCAATCGTATTCGATGATAAAACTGACTTTAATATTACGGTAAACAAAAATTACATGCTTATTCGATGATCATTTTTAGGTGTTTATAACCATTTCGGTACCTATGTATAAATTCTGATTCTGATTCTGTCATTTTCCCTCGAACAATATGGTAATACCCGCTTACTCAAAAATGTTGATTTTTGAGATTTGGTAATAGGTTTTTGCGTTATTGATCGTGTAAATTTTTCACTTATGTTATACTTTGGAAACAAAAACATAAAGATCATTATGATCATTATGATGAATACTTTTGGATTTATCCATTCAGGAAAAAATCCAAAAGTATTCACGCCCGATCATTAAAAAAAATCAATGATTGTAATAGGGTGTGTAGATAACAAAATATCTAATAAACCCGATTCTATCGTAATAGCGATTACCATAGTGTTCGTCGGGGACTGCGAAATAGTGTGTCCCTTTTTTTGATATATAAGTAATATTATTTTTTATTAATATTATTAAATTACCAAAGAAGAACATAGTCTCACGATAACTTATTAAAAAGGAGAATTCTGAAGGTTTTGATTCAAAAAAAATATTTTACATAACAATATTATAGACATAGCCATTATTTTAACCGTCATTTTATAGAGACATATTGCACAGAAGTTCATAGCTTTTTTCAAAATCTACATGCAAACATAAACAATATTTAAGAATTCTCTGTTTTAAAATTGGCTAGTACAAAGATTTTATATATACATAGATAATATCTAGAATACCGTAACTGCAAATTCAATCGGCAAGTAATAATGGTATAGAGGTTGATATGATGAGTTTCCAGTATAAGGTTCTCCCTTTTATATGAGGAATCTTTATTCCTGGATAAAGCAGCCAAATGCACGCCAATGCCCAATATAAACCCTAAAAATAAAATGATATATTGTAGCACTTAGGTACCAACATATATTTTTTAAATTATATATGTCTATTGGTAGCTGATAATAAATTTAATTATTTATGAGTTTGGATAGTTCGGGTAAGCTTTGTTATGGATCTGAGCGGGGGGCATTAAGGGTACCTATTCTTTTGGAAACATTCTAGTAGTTCGGATCCCCCAAACGGGAGTTCGTAATAAATTGATTATTTCTTTGATATCAACGCCATAGGCTCTTCGTTTATAATAAAAAAATTGGGTACACACGTTATCTTAGTCATAAAAAATCACTGATCATTATGATGAGAAAAGTATAGTCAGATAGATTTTTTTTACCGATTTTAATAAGAAATGGCAATTTAATTTTAAATTTTTAAAAAGAAAATGAATCTGAAATCCGACACCAATAGCGTTCTTGTAGTAAAAATATTCTAATTTATTACTTACACAATTCACCACAGGTGGTAGCAAAGAGGCTGATATAGCTATACAATAGAGGTCCAGCACTACCCTGGAGCAAAGCTAATGCTACTCCTGTTCCAGAAGTTAGAGCCCAAAGTACTCCCATCCATAACGAACGCACGTTACCTCTAAAAAAATCTTTAGTCAATGAGGGGTAGTGTTGTAACTGGCTGTTGTTTGAAATTTACAAATTTAAGGGAATTATATAGAACTTAAAAATAAAAGAATTACACCGGTAAAATGTTTGCTCTCCAAAAAACTTAGGAGTCCATCTAATGTCTTGAAATTTTGTGCGATAGGCATTGCATTTTATACCGTGCTTGTTTAGTATATATTTTAGGTATACGTAAAAAATTAAAAGATGCCAAGGAAGTGGCGGTAGTTTTTCTTTTTAAAATTAAAACATAATTAATTAAGAGTAAATTACCGTCCCTTCATTTCCTCCGTAGGCCAGTCACCAAATCCCCAAGGCATTTCTGTCGTTCCCAAAATTAGTCCAAATATGAATCCAAATACCAGAGATGCTAACATTCCTATAACTAAAACTCTCAAAGCCGCTTCTCACAAGGGTTCTGTCAGATATTATAGTGCCGAACGTGATAGACATGACAGGGCCATGAGCGGGGAAACTAACATTGCTGCTACGATATTTGAAGCATTGTTTTCCACTAGGCCTAAAGCCGCGAGAGAATGAAACAAAAATGTAAAGATTTTTTTGGGATGCTTATTTTTTAAACACACAGCACCCAGTACAAAGATATCGTAAATTATTATACTTATAGGTTCTCTTTATGTGACAATATGACAATGAATTTGAAGCCATGTAGCAACTCAATATTGAGGGCCAACTAAAGACGATCAGTTCAACCAGTCAATTAAAAAATTGCCAACTATTGTCTACTTTGGGCATCACCAGATTTCATAACTACGGTTTCACTTTCAATAAAAGTTTATTCAATCCTTACTCAGCCGTTATAATCAACGTTAAATAATCAAAAGACAATTCTCCACCGCCTCGAACCCCGTCCACCACTTGTTTGACGTCAGTTTCGATCTGATAGATTCCACAAAGTTCCGCCAGCGTCTTGCGTCCTCGATTTTCGTCTGGCGTACAAACAAATATATATTATATTTTTAAGGCTTAGACAGATCTTTATTTATTTACGGATTCACCTATACAAATTATATGCAAAGTTTACTCACATATTGTTTCTTCATCATATTCAAACATTTGTCAGAGCCCCCAATGAACTACGTACAAGGGAGAACGCTAAAAGTAAATTAAAAACTTATACATTTATTTTACTGATTAAAGTGTTAAGTGTTAAGTTTAAGTAATCTTAAGAAAGATTTTAAATTAAAGCTGATTTGTGGTTTTTTGCTGACATTCTATGCATCCAGCTATGATAGTATGAGTTTTATAAACGGTTGAAAGGGTCGGATGTTTATTAAAGGTGATTTTAAAAGCAAATTCTGATGTTGTTTGAAACATTAACGTTTCGATAAAAAAATCAATCATACAATTGGTAGGGGACACATATATAAATCACGGTAGGTAGGTACTAGTTGAATTGCAGTGCCTTCAACCACGAGTTGCAGATTGAGCAGCCATAAAAAAAGTACTTAATTTTTTTTTACTTATGCATGACTATGGAAGATCGGGATGTGGAGGTTTAACACGCCTCTGCTCATCGCTTCAGGGAAATAGGCGTGAGTGTATATAATAATCGCATAGCAGAGACGTATTTCTTAAATTATATTTATTTAAGCACGTCACCTTAACGTTGTACTTTCACCACACATATTAAATAAAACATAAAATGCATTAATTAAATTAAAACAAATTTTGCTTAGGGCCGGTTTTTCAATCCTCAGATAAACAGTTAGATATAATTAATTCCACAATTAGCGTAATTTTTATACTTTTTAATGGTCAGATAGTTTTTTAATCTGAAGAATAAAGCTTAAATCAGGGGAAAAAACTTATGCCGTTTCACTCCTCAGTGATGTTATCTATAGAATAGTGCACTAGACTTTGGTGTATTTGTTTTCATCTCTAATATTTTCTGTAGTCAAATTTATATACGCTGCCTAAGGGCAACGTATATACACAGGACACAGCAAACTTTAAATACTCAATAAGTTAAGTATTTAAATTTTACTGTGTCCTAAGAGAAAAGAAAAGCGTTTTTAGAGAAGCGAGATATGACACTTTTTTCGTGTGATGATGAGAATTTCATTACAAGTTATTAGCAAATGCAATTTCTCGAAATTTAATGCTCGTTTCTTAATTGATTCCATTTTATACTAAAGTAAAATGAATGATAATGATAATATTTATCCCACATTAACACAATTAAACTAAGAGCTTAGAAACACACACAGACAAAATTACAAATGAAATGTAAATGTACACAAATATTTGAATGGAGCAGGAATCGAACCCGCCACCTTTCAAGTAACAGTCTGTTACACAAAACACTATCCCATCGTTCACCGTCACTAATACCGTCAAAAAAGGTTATCTTATTATCTGACAGACAAGTAATGCCCAAGAAAGGAATGAAAACAAATGTAAAATATTATATCCTTATCTAACGTTAGATACATGATGCTAAAACTGTATAACTATAACTGTATAGATGCATCTCGCTTGCGCATATTTACAGTGAACTTAGCTATTAAAGCCATCAAGTAACTATCTGTCGGTTACACCCGATTGAAAAACAGAAAAAACGTTTATTCCACAAAATACATTTAAATACTATTAGGGAGTTTATTCGCTTGTAACAGCGATATAAATTTAATCCCAATGATTAAAAAACCGGCCCTTCGTTTAAAAAAAACCTTCCACCATAATCTGTTGCAATGTCCATGTTAACCAGTAGCTTTGAAAACAAAAAACAGTGTTTTTTTTATTTAAAAGCGAATAAGAGCTGATTTGCGAATTTAATTGACCGTTGCACCCGTATTTTATTTTCGATGATGATGTAGATTAGTGCATTTACATGAGTTTGGAACATTGAAACCGTCCCTACTTCAAACGGAAAATAGATTAGAAATAAATTTCAAATTAACAATTTAGATTAAAATCTGCCTAGTTATGTGACATAGTTGTATAAACCCACAGTTTGTTGCTCTGATCACAGATGACGTTATAAAAGTTAAAATTTTATGGGTTTAAGATGGATGTCAATACATTTTTTTTTGTCAATGTCGTGGGTCAAACAAAAAATTTTATGAACAGCTGTTTCAAAAAGCCAAAAAATTTTATTACTAAAACCTGATATCGCTTTAATGTCAGAGCTACAAAACTTATCTCTTTCAGTAAGTACTAAACACAACCCAATCACATTCATGATACTATCTCACTTTACAATAAAATTTGTTTAATGAAATAGTTCATGGTAAAAAAATCGGAGCCAGTCTTTTCTAATCTAATTTACGGATAAAAATAATTTATACTAATAACAAAATTAAACATTTTGAACACCCCCAAATCTAATTTTTGGCTGAAGCACCAGGTCAAATTTAATATATCAGGATATAACCACTAAAGTAGCAAGTACACCAAATTTCAAATCAATGGGAGCTATGTAAGTTAGTGAGATCTCTTCATCAACTAAGAAATAAGCTGATGATCTTCAGAATAATATTATAATATAATATTATCAATATATATTTTCTTTTCTTCTAAAGAACCACCTTGATCACGTCAGCTTTAATTAAAGCCACATCATAGTCGGTCCTTTCTTTTAGGAGCTACGATGCCACAGGACAGCCACACAGACACGTCAAACTTATAACACCCCTCTTTTTGCGTCCAGAGTTAAAAATTATAATACAAAATATAGCTGTTACTAAATATTATTAGACAGCTAAAAGGTATTGTGTTTAGGTAGTGACAGATAGGTATGATAAACGGGGTCAACCCTAATTAGAGCCGAGGCTCCATTAAGGGTTCTGTCCACTTAAAGGTGTTTTAATATCGGGTACAGGTAGATGCGTTGGCGGGTTCACGTGAGTGCCCTTTATGATTTAAAATGATGCCCGAAGTATTAAATAGATTTTATTATGAACTTGATTTCAAAAATTTCTTTTTTTTAGTAACCCAAATTGGTTTTGGTAGGTACAGGACCCATAAAGTATAAATTATGTATTTATTTTTACACCACTATTCAAAATGTTTCTATTTTATAATTGAAGTGTCTGTTTGTAATGTCAAGCTCACACGGTTATTTGCACGATACCTATGCCTAAAAACCAGTTTAAACTATTTTTTGCCTGTCTGTCTGCTTGTTCTGGGTAATCTTCAAAACGGCTAGACCGTTTTTGATAATATTATACGAGTACTACCCGGTAGTAGTCTATAAATAGTAACTTAGGCTATTTTGCCTCTCAGAAAAACTCTTTTAAAAATTTTTCATGGTCCGGGAATCGAACCCCAGGTCTCATATACATAATAAAGTAGGTGCGTACTCACGTACATAAATAAAGTAGGTATACCATTTTTTTTTTAAGGCTTTCATAGATTAATTATTAACGTTCAGTCTAGCAAGGCGAGGTTTTTTATGATATAGGAGCCAAACGAGTAGAGGGGTCACCTGATGGTAAGCGACTACCGCCGCCATTGAACGCCTGCAATCAGGAATCACAAGTGCGTTACCGGCTTTCAAGGTAAGAGTACGCTCGCGTTTTTTTTTTTTACAATAACTATGCCAGCTCACCACCTTGGTAGGGCTAGAAGTAGGTACATGACGAAAACTACCGTTATAACTCCTTTACTCTTTTTACAACTTAAAAAAAATAAGATAATTGATTTTGTAGGTATAATGCTTAAATTCGGGAAAACAAACTAATCATTCCTAATTACACCGTGCGTTTGAAAACTGTTAAAACAAATTGACAATGAAAAAAAAAAAACTATGCTGTAATCCCGTGAAATTCAATTTGATCGAAACGATTTGCTGATCTGTAACAATTAACAATTTTGCAGTCAAGTAAACAATGATTTAAATGATCAGATGGCACTGCGCATTTAAAACCAAAACGTGCCTAAATATGTGCTCTCAATGTTTAAAATAAAAATTTTCTGACATAGTCAAATTTTGGCTAAAAGTCCCTCAAGTTTTAAGCAATAAAAAATTAGTAGTTAGTCTTCCTGATACTGATGATACTATGCTATGCGGTTTTTATTTTTTTTTTAATAGTGCATTCTAGTAAAATACACGGTGTTTACTGACAATAGATTTGCATTGTACTCCGATGCCAAGTGAGTGAGACAATGAAGCATGGTTTCACATTGATCGCCAGTTGGCAAGGGGAAATATGATCTCAAAATAGTTCCCGGCTTTGTCACTTATCCAAACAAACATGCTCCACGTGTAGCTTAGACAAAAATTTCTTTTAAGATCTAAAGAGAAACATACTGATCGTCTCTTTGAAGTGTTTAAACGTTTTTATCTGGTCTGGTCAATATCGCTTATAAACCTAGATTAACTAATAGTGTTTATTAAAATTTGAGGCAGGTA